AAGCAAAATATCTTTATTTAAAACAACAGGAATATTTGTAATTAGGATAAATGAAATAAGGGAAAAGTCTTCAGACTGTTGGAAGAATGGGATGGTTTAAATGAAAATCTATAATTATTGTATATGTTTTAGTCTGTATTAGTTAGAAAATAGTGGTTAAGTAGATAAAAATAGAGAAGATTGCTTAAAAATTAAAGCCATTGATTTAGATCTCTATTTGAAAGGTCAGTGTGTGGGAGATGAGAAAGGCACTATAGCAATCAGTGTTCAACAAAAGACATTTTAGCAGCAGGACCTACAAAGAGCACATCAACTATTTATATCATCCCCAACAAGTTGCTGGTCATTTCACTTATCAAAGAAAATAAGAAAAGAACTTTCTTTAGATATTCTCTGGATGCAGTAACAATACAGTTTTGGAATCAACTGTTAAAAACTATAATTAAAGCTGGTTTATCATGTTCACTAATTATTCTATATGGTTGCTTTCCCTTAAGCAAATAATTCTCCTTTTGTTACAAGCTTCTGTTTCTCCCAGGGCAGTCTGAATCCTGTCACACAGAGAACTGAAGTGTTTAGAAACCAATGTATTGTAATACCTGTACAGCCAAAGAGATACTTGGCAATTGAACTTGAAAAACAAACAAACAACTTTCTGTATATTAGATAGGGTCAGCGATTTAGAGGTTTCAGCTCTACCACCTGGGTAAGGAGATGTCTGGGGGTAGCAGGACAGAGTGAAGAAAAACAAACCGAAAAAAAAAAAAAGGATTTCCTCTAGGAACCCACTTAATACTGGGAAAGCTAAGAAATTTTTACTCAGCAGCTTCTAATAACCACCTGATATTGCCGTCAGGTTGGTCAAATATCTGCCAACATTGGTGGTCCTTTAACTCACCATGAAGATGAGTAGAGGGACCTGATGTTTAGCAGCAAAACTCATTTTCCAGTTTCTTCCTTCAGCAGATAGAAGTACTTGTGGGCCATTCTCATATTCCAGCACCTTAGTGCTGGTGATGTACACCCTGTCTGCTCCAGAATAGCTCTGTGCCACAGCAAGGAAAAGGGTTCTCTCCTCATACGTAACACTCAACAGGGCGGGACTGAATCCACACTCTTCCCAGGGAGTGGGTTTTAGGACTTCTCAGACGCTGTGAGACTCATCTTCACATGGGGAGTGGGGTAAGGAAGAGCAGTGCTAATAACCGGAACTCTGGAGACAAGATCAGAAACTGGAAAAACAAACATGGGACACTGTAGCCCTCTGTAATCACTTGCCTTCATTTAACTTTATCTTCATTTTCCCTTTCCTCACCAAGCAGTAGTTGATAATCAATTGAAGGCCACTCTCAGGATCTTGCCATGCAATGTAGTGGAACATCTAAAAATCAGGGGCTTATTTTTATTTATAAAATAGAGAAATCTCTGGCTTACATTAGGCTGTGTGGACAGGGCTTTCATGTTTGGAAACCAAATGGAGGCCTTTCTCCTGTTCTTTTTTTCACTTGTGGCCCCTCCTTCCCCCAAGCTGACCAGGAGTATGCACAAAACCAGGCTTCAGTAAATATCAACACTGAAGATTCAGCAGGTGGCTAACTCCTGTAGGGCTATCTTAAAAGTATGTTGCATATACATTCGAAGTTTCACGAAGCCTCAGAGATCTCCTAAGAGCAGTGTAAATATCCCTGGTTTAATTAGTAGTGCTGGAGTTAGGTAATGGTCTGTGGCGTCCAAGCAAGCTCTCTTGAGGTTTCTAGTCTTCAGGGGCTGCCTGCAACTATGATGTGCTCATGTATCATTTTCTTTCTCATACATTGAGTAAATTCACTTTAGACCTTCCCTAGCCACATAGTCACAATTACTGCAATACACATGCAAACTCATCCCATTCTCAAGATATGAAAAAACGACCAGTGGCCTCAACCTAGGTATCAACTTAAATTCTTTTGGACTCAAATTCTCCTTGAGTTTTGCTTCCCAACGGAAAGAAAGAATTCCTAGGTTGGTATTGATGCCCTCTTTCTCTCTAAGTAGACAGTGGACAACTCACTTTACAGGCTGATCGATGTTGGGGTAAATGCACTCCAGTTCTCAGCATTTCTGAACCAGCTCTTTCGCGGTTTAGGTCAACCAATCCGAACTGTAAGCAGACTTGACAAGTTTGTTCTGGGCTGAAGGCCATGGACTAGGTTCTCCGACCAGATAAGTCACTTGGCTGAGTCTACAGTAGGTGGGGCGCGCTCATCAGCTCGAAAGTATTGACTGAAAGTTTGTCGCAACGTCGTTGAATTCACGCTGCGGGTTGCTGCAGGAGATACCCTTTTGCCCCGCGAGTACAGCACCAGGAAAGTTACGCCCTACGGGGCAGGGCGCTAGCGAGAAAGATGCGCCAGACCCCTGAAATCTAGCCCCTTCTCCCACGGCTGGGAAGGCAGAGCTAATGATTCCAGAGCTCGGAGTCCCAGGTTTCGGTCCTCTAGCTTGCTCTGTGGGTAGCGGGCAAAGGGTGCGATCAGCTTGGGAACCCTCGCTCCGAGATCTGTAAGAATCAGCGGCAGCAGCCAAGGTGAGGGAAGGCGGGGGCACGTGCTTGGATGTGGGTGCTTGTGTAACCAGCTCCTCCGGCGCCAGCCCCGACAGCGCTCCAGTGGGAGGCTCGTCTGAGCCTGTTCTTCCATCGAGACCCGGGAGGCTCTGGGGTCCCCCTGCCCGTACAAGGCGGGAGCACTCCGGGCAAAGGAAGCGAAGCACTTGCCTCTACAGCTATCATATGGGAGTGGGAATTTGGAAAGTTCCCCAACTAGAAGTACACGTGACCTCCTCCTGAAAGTAGTTCCGACTGTGGCCCGCGTATCCCTCCACCTCCTTTTGAACCCTCCTCGGCTCCGCCCACTCACAGGGGCTGCAGCTTCCTACAATCACGTACTTCGCCCTCCCGCGCTGCAACGGGGGTCTGCGGCGCGCACTCCCCGGCTAGGGGGAGCGCGGAACCTGGCTCCGGGGCGATTCACCCAGCGAGGTTTTCACAGCGGTCCAAAAGGGGCGGGTCGAGCAGCTTCTAAGGATCGAGCTCGAATTGGAAGCGGCGAACCCAACTGGAACCCCGAGGAGAGAGATTCTCGGCTCTCTGGGGGGAATGCAGGGGCTGCAGGATGCATTCCACCTTCGGGGATCCGCTTTCAGCCCACCTGGACAGTTGCCTTTGAGGATCTAGATATTCAGGGGCGATGTGCTCACACTCAGCGCGCTCTGCTAGGAGCTTTCATTTTTAGGACAAATGAATCGAGTAGCCGGTGGAGCGGGAGGTGGGGCGGTTAAAGGGAGCCGGGTGAGGTGATACACACTGGAGACACAATAGGGGGTTGTTCTTTGTACTAAGACTGACACCTTGAGGACACGGGCGGGGGTGGGTGGAGAGGTGGGATTTCTCGGCGAAGGCTCCTGCAGTCAAGTCGCCGCGAACGCTTATGACCCGACATCGGTGCAAAAGAGGGAGGCTGCAGGCCGAGCCGGGGAAGTCGGGGTGGGGGGAGGGGTGTCCTTGCTGCACGGGCCGTCCCTGCGTTTGCTTGGACACTGACCAGAGCGGTCAGCTGGTCTTTTCCACCTGTGCGCAGGTAGCCTCACACTCAAGTCAGTGACACAGATGAACAAACCAGCTTCAACCTTCACCGCGCCCCTTCCCTCCCCCGGCTCCCCGCCCCCGCCTGCCCACCTTCGCAATAGTTTACCCTGCCTCCGGCTGGGCACCGGCCGTGGCTCAGCTCGTCCCCCCCACCCTGCGCTGCTGCAGAAGAAGCCGCGGCAAGTGCAGTTACAGGCGGGCGCCTCGCAACAAGCCCGATCTAGCACTAGCAGTCATACTGGGCATGCTCAGTGCGCCTGCAGGTTGGGGACTCGGCGCTTGCACCCGGAGCTGCACCTTCTGCCGCCTCCTCACAGCCTCTGCCCTGCCCTTCCCTCCCTACCCCTCCCCTAGCGCGGTCGGGTACGCCTCCCTCCTCCCCTCGGGCTCCCGAGGCGCCCGGACTCCCGGCGCGGCGGCGGCGGCGGCGGAGGGGGCGGGCAGGCCGGCGGGCGGTGATGTGGCGGGACTCTTTGTGCACTGCGGCAGGATACGCGCTCGGGCGCCGGGACGCGGCTGCGCTCAGATCTCTCCTCTCGGAAGCTGCAGCCATGATGGAAGTTTGAGAGTTGAGCCGCTGCGAGGCGAGGCCGGGCTCAGGCGAGGGAGATGAGAGACGGCGGCGGCCGCAGCCCAGAGCCCCTCTCAGCGCCTGTGAGCAGCCGCGGGGGCAGCGCCCTCGGGGAGCCGGCCGGCCGGCGGCGGCGGCAGCGGCGGCGTTTCTCGCCCCCTCTTCGTCTTTTCTAACCGTGCAGCCTCTTTCTCGGCTTCTCCTGAAAGGGAAGGTGGAAGCCGTGGGCTCGGGCGGGAGCCGGCTGAGGCGCGGCGGCGGCACCTCCCGCTCCTGGAGCGGGGGGGAGAAGCGGCGGCGGCGGCGGCGGCGGCGGCGGCGGCGGCGGCGGCCGCAGCTCCGGGGAGGGGGTCGGAGTCGCCTGTCACCATTTCCAGGGCTGGGAACGCCGGAGAGTTGGTCTCTCCCCTTCTACTGCCTCCAACACGGCGGCGGCGGCGGCGGCACATCCAGGGACCCGGGCCGGTTTTAAACCTCCCCTCCGCCGCCGCCGCACCCCCCCTGGCCCGGGCTCCGGAGGGCGCCGGAGGAGGCAGCCGTTCCGAGGATTATTCTTCTCCCCATTCCGCTGCCGCCGCTGCCAGACCCCTGGCTGCTGAGGAGAAGCAGGCCCAGTTGCTGCAACCATCCAGCAGCCGCCGCAGCAGCCATTACCCGGCTGCGGTCCAGAGCCAAGCGGCAGCAGAGCGAGGGGCATCAGCCACCGCCAAGTCCAGAGCCATTTCCATCCTGCAGAAGAAGCCCCGCCACCAGCAGCTTCTGCCATCTCTCTCCTCCTTTTTCTTCAGCCACAGGCTCCCAGACATGACAGCCATCATCAAAGAGATCGTTAGCAGAAACAAAAGGAGATATCAAGAGGATGGATTCGACTTAGACTTGACCTGTATCCATTTCTGTGGCTGCTGCTCCCCTTTGCCTTTCTGTCACTCTCTCTGATAACGTGGGAATAGACGGATGCGAAAAAATGTCCGTAGTGTGGGTGACTATAACGTTTAACCCTGGTCGGGTTTCTAGATGTATATTTTGTGTCTCTTTTGAATGCATTCAGCCTAGGGTGTGTTCGGCTAGACGGAACTCTTGCCTGTTTCCAAGTGTCAAGGCACCGATGGGTCTCTTTCTAAGGGCTATTGTCCGCAGAATCCAGAACACTGGTAGTGGATTAGTGAGCTCGGTAATCCGGTCTACTAAATGAACAGAAAAGTAGATGCTTTGAGCTTGAGCATATTTCGATTAAATCTTGGCTTTAGGCCCTAGATCAAGGGTATAGATCAGATTAAAAGGAAAATTAGTGTTGCACGTACAGCTTATTGCATCAGAATCTTGCAGTGATTGTTTTTAGTTTCCTGGGTTGCATTGAAAGATTCTTTTAAAATGTGAGTTGTGAACTGATTTGCATAACTTTAGAGAGAATCATTTTAGCATATATGGTGCTCATTTGAAGGCAAAAGTAGGTTTATGCATTAAAACTAAGTTAATTACAACTTTGAACCGCGTTTAGAAGTTTTGCAGTTTGAAATCAATAGTACCATGATACTTCTCAAAGACGCTCTTATTAGATTTTGTTAAATTTGCTTTTTTTAAAAAAAAAATCTCTTTGAGATGATGGAGGATAGGACTTGAAATTTACAGTTCAGTAGCATTGTAGATTCAGTGCTCTTCTGATACGTAGTAGAATGGAGATTGAGTGGTTTTTGATCTCAGATGATAATGTTATGTAGGTTCAAGGGTATTGTGTGTAGCAAATGGTGATTGCAGAGATTAAACTTAAGTTTCACTTGAAATTTAGGTATTGATTGAAGTATATACTTGAATTGATACTCAACTTTATTTAGGTTTCAGGTCTTGTGACACCTTTGGGTATCCGTTAATTTTACTCTGACTTGTGTAGAACGTCAGGTATAATTTGCCAGCTGATAATCAGAAATGCTGGCAAGAGTGGATTACTCCATTTTTGGATTGTAGGTGTGTTCGCTTTTTTCATATGGTGTATTAAATTTACTGAGTCAGCTTGTTGAATAAGACAGAAACCCAAGAATTTCAGTGGGGTACAATTGGTTGTCTGAAAGTTAGGCTTTTGTATTTCAGAAGATAGTGGTTATTGAAAGGCATGAATCTTCACAGTTTCAGGTATAATGAACAAATTTTGGTCAAGGATGGGGGGATAGAGCCCTCTTTTTTGGCAGAATGGGAAATAAGTTAGGAATTGAGAGTCACTGGTAGGCCAGTGTATAAGGCATGAAAAATAGGATTAAGTTATTGGTCTGAGGTGATTGAAGCATTTTATTAAGGTTTCTATTAAGATAAAAAATTTGGTGATGTGAATTGTAGCAGTGGACAATACTTTAAGCAGTTGCGTAGGTGTTTATAATAGCATATACTCAAAAAAGTGGTTACTTAGCAGGTGTCTGTATCTCTAGCTAAAACTGTGGGGAAGATACTTTTGAAGAAAAATGTTGCATATGTGAAGAGTTTTTATTCCTTTGGAATATGTATCTGCACATACATACACACATAGTATTTGCAGTTGATTTTGCCCAAGGTTTGATATGAAGTGAAGATAAAAGTTACTGAAGAAGTAGCTTTACCACGCACACAACTTAAGTTTTCTGTTAAGTTTAAAAATAATATTTTAAAAGAATATTTGGAAATTTTGGAGTTGCATTAATTGAAAAAGTACTAAAGCTGAACTTGACCTGTTTGCCCAGAAGATAATCATGAAAAATACTTAACTTTGTTCTTCTGATTTGTAACCTATTTCAGAAGTAGTCTATTGGTATGACTTGATAGTCATCTAGATGTATAGGACCAAATTAATTAAATGTTTAACTTTTTAGAGTAAACCCACATTCAAAAAGATTTCTAGAATGCTGTTTGTTAGGCAGATTGCTTTTAGTATTCAGAGTATGTTTATGCTATTTTTGCTTTACCCATTTGATTTTAAATTATCAGAGTTATGAGACTAATATCATTCTACCAGGTTTTTTATTTACGCGGTGATTAGCCATTTCTCCTTTGATTTCAAGGTGTGTGCCTCAGTGTGTGAAATTTATGTGAATTACAACTTTCTCTAAAACTGTCCTTTTAGTTATGGTATGCATAGAAAGCATTATCATATATTGCATCGAATGACTAATAACACTTGATTTCTAGAGTTGTGGTTTTATTGAGCCAAATGTTGATATGAAAAAAAAAATGTTAGGAAAGTCAGTAAAGGGTTGCCTTTTTGGTAGTTGCACTTCCAATAATTTTGATCCACCAGGGCCCTTGGGCTTGCTTGGTTTCACTTCAGTGTTTTGGGTTTAGTGGTGGGGGAAAATGGCCATTGACGGCTTTTTCCCTGGCAAGTTGTAGTGTCTGTTTCAGCAGTTAGCCTTCTCAAAGTTAAATTCTTTAATGAAAGTAGTGATTGGAGTATTTTTATAAAGGTCAGTAATGAAGTGACTTCCTTAAAGGAAAATTGAGGACTATGGGTTTTTTTTTTTTTGCAAATTGAATTATTCTAAAAGTCATTTTTTGGTGGGGGCTTATCCTTAATATTAGTCTGGAAAGTAGTACTGAACACGAGACTACAAAAAATTCGTTGTTTTAGATTTCATGGACACTTTAGGCTTCTATTGAATTTTAATTGTTTGATAAGTTTGCATCTTTTCAAATAATTAACCCTCATAGGGGAAACTTTAATTCATAGAGAGTATAGTGACTGTTGAAGTTAGCTGTTATCTTTTAAAATTAGTGATTACTGAAATGACTGTATAGTGAAGATTTTTTTTTTTAAATTCTACTCAGAGTTTTTATTTTACACTTTTTAATGTCAGTTAAGTTGTATTTCTTTCCTGTGCAAAATGACTGGGCCACCTAATTGTTACAGGATGATCCACAAACTTCATTTTCATAAAGCGTATTAAAGAATAAAGCACATTGGAGAAATTTACGGTTTATGTAGTTCTTAATATAAGGAAAAGAATTTATTGCTGTTCATTGTAAAAGTTTTCACTATAGTATAGTCATCAGTGCAGATTTAACATTGCTTATGATACACTAAAGAAATAGTAAATATAAAATATGATGAGACGTAACCACGTTATTTTAAATATAGTTTTAGAGAGATAGTAGAGAAAGATGCATTTGTATGTATTACCTTTTAGAATCTTAACATTGAAGGTAGCTGGTGATATTTTAATTCTTGTGTGGTACAGTATAGTATCTGCTTTTTCCCATAAACCACGAAAAAAAAATACAGACCTCTTAATGTCACAAAATACTTTGTGGAAGTCTGATTTTCAGATGTCCTCATTTCGAGATTTGCCCCATTTGCTATTTGTTCATGTGGTGATAGCTTAATACTTTTTAATAATTTTTAAGCCATTTAGGTAATCACTTCAGTGACTTTTAATGTAAGAGTATTTATTATGGGAAAATCAGTTCACAAAATTTCGACATTAAATCACTCTCAGACATTTTATTTTTAAATTTTTACCTCAACATTTCTAGTAAGACAGCAGTGTAGGATATATTTTTATATTAATATTGTATGTGAAATTGGAGTTTGTAAAAAGAAATTTAGAAGTTTTCACGTTTATGACAGTTCTTCACTTACTTGAAATGTTAGGCCTTGGCTGTATTATAAGAAGTTAGCTTCCAGAAAAATGTTGATAATGAAAGAAATTTATTTGGTATACTTTTTTTCTGTAGATACTCTTTGTTCCAAAGTTCTATTTGTATTTCATAGAACTGTCACTCTTTTCTCCTCTCTTTTTCTGTTAGATAAACAGGACTTTAAGTAAAGTCAATATTCTTTTGTGGTCTGATTTCACTAAGAAAAAGTGTTAGGATTTATTCTAAGGATAGTGACTTAAGATATATCAGACTGTGAGATTGGGGTCAGAAATTATTTCAGTAAATATTCAGTTTTACAATTGCTTTCTAATTGGTAACTCTAAAATTAACACAGTTGCTATCAGAAATATCGATATTATTAGGCTGAACAACCCTAAACTGATGACCTTAATTCTTTTACATAGGCCGTCTTACTTCCACATGCATATTTTGCTGGGTGGTCAAAATATTTTGGTTTGTGATTCTCAAAGCGTAGACTATATATATATATGCACTTACTAATGTAAAATACTTTCATTTGTCAAGAAAGGTGAAATTAGTATATTGGATTTGATTATTCACCTACTATTCCCTAATTTTTGGAATTTTTTCATTGGCTACAGAAAAGCATTAGCAATTTGGTTCTTTTAAAATTTGCAGTGGAATTAAAAATACTGTTGGAAAAATACTGATTTAAGAAGAATAAACATAACTTAGGGGTGAATTAATTTTGTATGGAAAGTCTTCATTTAGTTCTATATGGTTAAGGCAGATTCAGTTCATTTGCAACAGTTTGCATTCAGAGATGAGTGGACATCTTCAGGGTATTAGGTGTGTACCTGTTGGTCCTTTTGGCAGATTTGGATACTGTGGCAGTACCTTGCAGCAAAAAATTATTCTTAGCCTGTATGTAGTGTGGGAAAGACTATGTGTCATATTTTAAGTTGTTACACACTTAGTTACTATAGTAGTCATCACTTCAGCTATGGACAGTGAATCTAACTTAAAAGTGTTTGAATACTTGTATGTATGTAAATAAAGACAAAGTCAGGCAATTATAGTAATATTTCTAAAAATTGAATTTCTCTTTAAAGAAGAGTTCACCTGGTGGGTATGGTTTTATAAGTTTTAAATAAGGTTAAATCTGTTTTAAATTACATTCAAATATTGAGTATGAGTTTTTTCCACACATTGTACATTGTTTCATTTTAGATTTTAAGGTGGCAACTGTAGACTCTGGAACCAGTACTGCCTGTGTTGGAATCCTGACTCTGACACTTAGTAGCT